TCTTAAAGTAGAAATTTCATGCATCATTAACATCAATCATGGAAGCACTATTCCTATACCTATGGAAGAAGTCCACAGTCTACATGAAGATATTGTATATTTGAAGGAATTACGTAGATCAACCTCACAACCAAATTAAAGAAATCTTACTTCTATAAATATAAAAGAGACAAGGATTAGTATGCCCAAGAAGTTAGATGGAAGAAGATTAAAATTTTAAATATTTCTATATCAATAAAGCTCTATTTAATCTTGCATGCTTTTCAATACCTTAATAGATTTACTTAAGTTAAATTTATTGGTGCATTTCAATTTGAAAGTGTTTTCTATTAATGTGTACCTTTGATAGAAAAAGATTCACAATTCTTTTACAATTTGAATTTATTCTTAAAAGTATTTACGGCTACATTTAAAAAAAAGTGATTGAAAAAGAATAGTAAAAACCAAACTTACTTACAATATGGATTAGAATGACAAAGCCCTTATCAATCAATTTTGATATGGATTGAAAGATAATATAAAAAAATTATTATTAAAAATACTAAAAGTAGATTCTTTGGAATGATTTATTTCTTAAGCCATTGCATGCAATAATTGATCATTTGAAAGCCTTCAAGAATAAAGATTTAGTCAAAGATATATAAATAAAGTAGTGATAGCAACTCCTAAGCTTTCAAAAATCTTTTTATGAAAGTTGGAACTAATACAAATTAATATAATATGTTTTAAATCTCTTATTGAAAAAAAAAATCAATATTATCAAAAAGATTTCTATTTATATTGTAGAGAAGCGAAATATACTACTCAATATTATTCAAAGAAGTAACACAATCACAAAATGAGGAGTATGGTTGCCAAGGAAGACAATGTATCAAAAAATAAGTTTCTTCAATTATAATATAGACCATGTGGTTGAAATCATATGCAACACCTAATAAAGGTCTTATTCTTTCTTTAGATCTTTCATCTTATTTTATAATAGATGTATATTTAGGACCTAAAAATCATAAAATCTTTACCTTATTAGATTCATGAGCCTTAATGTATTTTATAAAGAAAGACTTTATTAAAAAATAAGAAATATCTTTAATCAAGGAAACTAAATCCATACATGTAGAAGTCAAAGATGGTTGTTTATTATCTTCTAAAAATATTACATATAAAATTTTTTCTTTAGATGTATCAATTATAGATTATAATAGCGTAATAATATTTAATGTAATAAGATCTCCTTCTAATTTGATTATTTTAGAATTTTTATGGTTAAAAAAATATAATCCTTAGATAAATTAGATTTTTTATAATTTTAATTTTTTTTAACTAAAATATTATCACAAATAGAAGCAAATGATAAATTTCATCTAATAGATTTTTATTCCAAGAATTTTTTAGTAGTAGATATCAATTATGAAATCCTTAATAAAGAATTTCTTATAATTATGGATTCTTTTCAAGAATGGTATTATTATTTAAAAAGAACTTTTATTCAAGTCATGATATATATTAATCACAAGAACCTTCAATATTTCATATCAATATAAGTATTGAATTATCACCATACTTGTTGGAGCGTATTATTATCAGGGTTTGATTTTACAATCACATATTGACTTAAAAAATAATAAGGTATATTAGATATACTTTTTAAGCATTCTTATTTTGTACCAAAAGAAAAAAAATATAGCTTTTGATCAATAAAGAATAGTCGTATTGAAGCCTAAGTAATTTTACCTTTAAGCAATAAAATCAATATTGATTATTGATTCAATCTTTATTAAGCAAATTCAATCAAGCATGTCTTTTGATCTTCTTTTTGATGATATCAAGAATATTTCTTTTAAGTTTCATAATACTTCTAATTTTGAGTTCAAGAACAATATAATCTATTTCAAAGATTGCATATATGTTCCAAAAAAAGAAGCATGTTTATGTGTTTTTTTAAATATGTCACAACTTTCTAATAGCAAGACATTTTGAATACAACAAAATTTTAGAGCTTATATTTAAAGATTTTTAGTGGAAGTAAATGTGGAAGGTTGTGAAAGACTTTGTAGAGTCATGTGACATTTGTTCAAGATTAAAAACTCTTCATCATTAATTTTATGGACTTCTTCAACCATTGCCTATACCAGAATAATTATAGTCTTCTACTTTTATGGATTTTATTACAAATCTTCCAAGTTCAAGTTCATATGACTCTATATTTGAGATTGCCAATTACTTCACTAAAATGGCACATTTTATATCATGTATAAAATCTATTTTAGATGAAGAATCACCTAAGTTTTTTCTTAACAATATCTGTTGCTATCCTGGATTATCAAAAGATATTATATCAAATAGAAGAATATAATTTATATCAAGATTTTAAAAAATCTTGTTTAAAATTTTGAAAGTGGATATAAATTTTTCTTTGGCCTTTCATTCTTAAATTGATGGATAAACAAAATGGATGAATTAAATTTTAGAATAGTATTTAAAGTGTACTATCAACTATCATGAAGATAATTGAACAATTCTTTTGTCATTGGCAGAATTTGTATATAATAATTTGATACATTCTACTTCTCAAAAAACACCTTTTTGTCAATTATGGTTATCATCTAAGACTTTATATTTTTGACTTTTCAAAAGTTGATAATCCTATAGTAAAAGATTTGAATTTTTTTTTGTTAGAATTACATGTAACAGTGAAGGCACAATTAAAAAAAGTTCAAGAATGACAAAAGATTAACTTAGATAATTATTGTAAGGAATAACCACAATTCAACATGGATGATAAAGTATGATTACTTTGTTATAATATCAAGACTACTTATTTTTGTGACAAATTGGATTATTGAAGACTAGACCTTTTCTTATTTGTGAATAAGTCAATTTTATTATTTATCAATTACATCTATGAAAGTCTATAAAGATCCATCATGTATTCCATGTATTATTTTTTAAGCCATATTAGATAATAAATATCTTAATAAGAAGACAAATACCACCTCTTTCTATAGAAGTGGATAATAACTAATAGTTTGACGTTGAAGAAGTCTTAGATTCAAAGTCGTGCCAAAATAGATTAGAATATCTTGTACATTGACATAGATATGATAAAAGTAAATATACATGGGAGCCAACAAAAAACCTTACTAATGCAGTAAAGAAAGTTAAAGATTTTCATTGATGGCATCTATTAAAACCAAAATAAAGAATAGCAAGATCCATAAAAGATGATGACTATTCTTCATGGAACTTGTTTCTAGAAAAAGAGGTAATGTCACAGATATACGTATTTATTTTAATAATTACTTATATAATTAGATAGAAGTAAATAAAAATTGATTAGTTTTTTAATATCTTTTAGAAAAGCTTCCCAGAAGCTTTATAGATGTGATTTGATTTTACACATGTTTGTAGTTGATTAGTAGGTTGAAACTTAGTTGACAAGTTAATCACATGTCACACATATTGGTAGCTTATCGAACAAGTTAACTATGTAGCACATATGTAAAAAACTTACTTTGTAAGTTAAAATATATATCTTACAAAATCAACACATGTTAGAGGTCCTATAAAACATTGCCATGTAGCTCCTATTTAGACAATATGTATAAATGCAAGAGTGAAGCCTTCTTCATTCTTTTCAATACCTTCTTAGTCTTTAGTCTTATTTCAAGACTTTCAAGTCTTCTTGTTTTTGGCAATAGCCATTTTAATTCAATATATTACCATCTTTGAGTGATTTTTAATCTTTTCAAGTAACATAAGAGTATATTAAGTTTTCTTTCTTTGAAATTCATATCCTTGACACTAATTATTTTAATTTAAATAAATATATATGTTCATGACAATGTATTAGAAGATAAGATATAGTTTTGATATTACATTTCTTTCTATCAATGCATTGAATATATCTCATATATATATATATATATATATATATATATATATATATATAATTAATATAACAACACAATTTTATATACATTTAAATCTTTTTAAAATTTTAATTTTTATAAAATTTAGTTTATATTATTTTAATTTAGTATAATATAATAATATAATAAGTATTTTTTGTATATATCATTAAATTATTATATAAATTTTATATATTTTAAAAATAAGAGTAATAATTTAAAATATATATATCAATATTTTTTGAAAAAATTAACTTGATATTTTAGTATTTTATTATATATTTAAATGTAGAATTTTAAATAACTTATTTAATAATCATATTTTTTATATGAATGTTAAATTATAATTATTTATTTATTTATTTATTTATTTATAAAATCTTTAATATCAATTGTCAAACCCTCTTTTGAATTCCTAAATATCTTGATATTATCTAATAGTATTTTGATTTTTTTTCAAAAACGTTTATTAATTCTTTTATAAAATATAATTAATAACATAATATATTTCTTGATTCAAAAAATTATTCAAGATAGAATTTATATTTTCATATAATTCTTTTATATTTTGATATATATATATATATAAAGGTGAAAAAATTATACCTAATCAAAGTGTCTCTTCAAGTATCTTATTCAATTCTGGCATGAAATTGATCTTGTATATATAAGAAATTATAATTGTATCACTTATAATAAACCAATTCTGTTTATATTAATAAATCAATTTAACAAAAATCATAAAGGAGAAATGATTCAGTTAAGTTTTATCAAACATAGATATGCTATAATCTATATTTAAAATCTTTAAAATAAAATCTAATTAAAAAAACCGTGAGAAAATAAAAACACAATTACATGACATCATTGAAATCACAAATCGCATCAAAAAAAAATCACCATACACACTTCAAATGTAAACAACAAAATCTTTAGTTCAACACACAAAAACACAAAACAAGACATTCAGTTACAGCCATAAGTTGTGACTACAACTTGCCATGTACCAAAAAATGCCTTTTAATATCATACACACATTATCAATCATGGTAGAGTTCCAAACACATTTTTACACTCAATACCAGTTGTACATTTTATATTTTGCATTCTTACATATATTTCTCATTTACCAATCACAAATTTTTCTTGTGATTCATAAGAACGATCTTTGCTAATCTACACCAAAGTTAACGAAAACCTGGTTCTAAACGTCAAACTTGCATTTTGGGGTTTTCAAGAAAACAAGCGGGGTATGTGTTGGATTGAGACATCGAGATAGAAAGAGAGGTGTGTGTATTATCAAAAGTGCCAGTGACGACTAGCGGCGGAGCGCGGCAGGGCGAGCTGCGGCGGGGCATGGAGAGCGGCGCGGGGAGCCTGCAGGTGTGCGTCGTGGAGGGCAGGAACCTGGTTCCCCGCCATCCCGGCGCCCCCCTCCACGCCTTCGTGCTGCTGCAGATCCATGACCAGCAGGTACCATCGCATTGGGTTGCGTTGGGTTGGATTCTGCTTTGCGGATTCTTCAACCCTAATCGGCTGCCGTGGGTTTCGTTTGTCAGGTTTGCACGCTGACATCCAACAACAATCTCAATCCAGACTGGCTGGCGGAGTTCAAGTTCGGGGTGTGCTCCGAGGATTCCTCCGTGGTGGTCAGTTACCCCGAGGCCCCACCATTTCTACACACTCGCATTATCCTGTTTATTAGACGAAGAGTTCTTAGGCAGTGTGTGTTGAGCGCGCGAGAAAACCGAGCGATCGAGAGTGTGAGAGAAAGAATGAGATTGTTCATCGGAGGTCTGTAGTTATGCCGTCAACGTCATTATTTGTCGGTTATTGCTGCGACGGCGTTATAGGGTCCGCTTTGATTGCCATTGTTGCATCTGCAAGCATCGTCACTACTCCAGTGAAGGATCCCTCCCATGTGTGCTGTTAGGTATCTCTCTATGAAGCCAGGTTCCCCACTGGCGGAAAGTTGAGGGGCAAGGCCATCGTCTCTCTTCGAGAAGTTGTGGACGTCGGAACCCATGTCCAGTGGGTGAGCATCCTCGCCGCTGACGGCGACTTCGCTGGAGAAATTTGTCTAGTACTCCGCTACACCCGTTTATCACCCATGGGTATATATCCCTCTACCCTTCAAATCCCCGCAACACCACCACTTCTTCTTCGTCTTCGTTTTCGGGTACTGTCTTCAAATGGAACTCATGTGAGATGGAACACCTAACTGGTCGAAGAGGAATCATCGCTCAATTCCAGACATTTGTTCAAGGAATGCCTTGGAAGCAAAGCACATGCTCGACCGTGTTAAGCCTCTGAAGGGTCAAGCGGGAGTAGCAAGCGAGAGAAATCCATTGCCGTTGCGCACAACACCGTTTCCTCTGTCATTGATTCCTTCAAGTGGGCGCAAAATTGAGCAAGCTTCCGTCGCATCTTCTCACCATTCTATCCCAAGGTCGAGATCGCCATCGCCAGCACCTGCGAGGAAGAAGCTTGTGCTGCTGGTTGCGGCAGCTGCGGCATCTAGCGTCGCCGCTGCGTTGGCTTTTCGCCGCTGCCGACGTTTAAGCCGCCGTTGTGCGGAAGATGATGAGGTAATGCTTCTTTATTCCAATATTTTTTTAAAGTGAAAAGTGAATAAAAATGAAGCTGTATGAACTTTCCTTTTTAAGCATTTCAAATATATTTTAATAGAATAAACATACTAAGACTAACAGGTCATCTTTTTATTTTTTTACAAGAAGCAATGCCTTCATTACTTTTTCTACAAAAAATCAAATATACATATTGTAAAATGATTGGACCTTTGATATATTGTTGAGAAAATTTGAATAACATTTGTTAGGTAGAGGATTTAAGAGAATCCAATCGAAGAGAATAGCAAGCCACTATTTTCATGTTCATTTGTTTTTTCATAGACATGATTCTTTAATATAGATTAAATCAACTTAAAACTATGTTGTAATTTCTAAGTGCTTTTTTTCTTAAGAAAGTACATCATATTTTCTAAACATTTGTGGGGTTTTTTTACAGGAATGGATGTTAAATATATCAACATAATGATTAGGGGATGAAAATTAGTGTTGTATATTTAAAATGATTGTAACAAAAATGTAACAATAACTATCTTACTTCTTTGGATAGAAGTAAGATAGTTGTTGGCATGTTTCAAAAACATTCAATAAAATTGGCACAAATTATCTTTTTAAAGATAAAATTTAGATGTCACCTGCATACCTTTCAATAGGCAGATCTGTTTTAATAAACAATTTGGAGCTAACAATCAATATTTTATGGTTGTATATACTGCTTACAAAACTGTAGGTTTTTTTGCAAAATATGCATTTTAAAATGAATAAACAACCATGTTTGGAAATCAACTTCTTATGTGATATAAATCAAGACTTTTCATTATAAAACTTTAACATATTGGTATTGATAAATAGAACAGTCTTCATGTACAAGTAGATGCAAAGTTTGTATTGACATTTCAAAAGAGATGAAAACTAAAGTCAAGTAAACATGCAATTAATAATTTTGTTTTGTTTTCCCCCTAGGGGTCGCTTCTTAACTCTCTGTTTATTTCTTTTCCTCCGTTTTAAAATTATAATATAAATATAAGAGTTTTATCATGAAATTATCAAAATCCAATCCTTATGAATGTTTTGATAATAGAAATCTATCGTAGATTTGCAAATTGCAGGCATCTCATGATAATGCTTTGATTGAAAGCCAAGGCTTGCAATTCAATGAAGATTACGGCCGAAGCTTCGATGGCTCTCAGAATGATTTAGAAAACGTTTCAAGCCAAAGTAATTACAGCTCATTTTTTTCTTTCATCAATCGTTATTGTTATGTTAACATGGTAGTATGATTAAAAATATATTATAAAAATAATTAAAATTTTATTCAAAATACTATATCATCTATATTAATCTAAAGAAATCAATGGAAATAATCAACGTCCATTCATGTAAATTGTATGATTTATATTATCAATAAAAAATAAAAAATAAAAAGATATCATGTAGATATCATTATATTTAAGCTTGAGGTAATATTGATAGTAGTTATTTTAATGTAAAGAGATATAGTATTAAAAAAAACATATGTTGTAGAACTTTTTACATGGACTTACCAAATATTGTGTAAGATTTTAAAGAAAATTGATCTTATCATAAGAAATCTTTCAAAATACACATCATACTATATATATATATATATATATATATAGTATGATATTTTTATTCATTAAAGGCTAAATTTTAAATAATTTTCTCAACATTTTATCAAAATTTATAATAAAATGGATATAAATAGATAAAATTCAAAGAATAGATAACTGTCCAGTATGAAAAAGTTGTTGAAATGTGCTACACAATTACATAACAGAAAATTAAAACTAAGTATTTTAAAAATGAAATAAATAATTTTCACTACATAGAACTATCTCAATTGTTAAAGAGAATAACAAATTCATTAATTAAGTGTAAATACTACATCAACTAAAGTTACTGTGTTTCAATTCGATTTTTAAAATACACCATTATGGACAACTGAAAACCGACAAAAGAATTAGCATCAACCTTTTTACTTTAAATGCTGACGGGCTTTAAAGTAAAGGAATTTCAACGCACGACATTTGTGTTGATTCAAAACCGATAACGACACCCAGTGTGAAAGTCCACGGCCATGGGACGCCATCCGACTGCCACGGTGGCAGGGCACGGGCATGGGAATGGATGGCCCAGAGGGGTCTGGAAAGTGCGGGTGTCGGAACAATCCAGACCCTCGGGAAGGTTCTAGTGGGGGCGGTTTCCATTCGAATCGTCGGGCGGAGGCTCTAGATGCTTCTGAAGGCGGCCCTTCCTGCCGGTATGAATTTGCTCCTCCCCTGCTCCCTATCTGCAGTAGTTAGCACAATTTCCATAGCCGCTGTGAAGCTTGTGACGACGGGAACTGTCTCCCGTTACCCCGCGTGCACTTAGTTTTTCCGCTGACCGCTTAGCATTCTGTATCGAAGTGCTCTTCCTTAACTTCATCACTGATCGGTTTTGTGCGAGGGCGTTCTAAATTGGCTTGAGATCCTAACAGGCTGTTCGGTTTCTCTGAAAGACTTTTTGTTGGTGAGTCTGTCTACTGAGCCCGTTGTGGGAAGGATTACACAATGGCGGATGTGACCATGTCTGGCCCTGAGGTCGAGACTTTCGCTTTCCAGGCGGAGATCAATCAATTGTTGAGTTTGATCATTAACACCTTCTATAGCAACAAGGAGATTTTCTTGCGAGAACTCATCAGTAATTCCTCGGATGTAAGTGTTTTTTCACCCTTGCTTGTGTACTGTTTGTGTCTCATCGTGTCTCTATTTGTCATTTGCGGTGGAGTTGGCGAGGCCGGCGTTTCCCGTAGAGTGTTAGATTTTGGGTGGTGAATTTGATTGTCATGTCTGCAGTTGTTGTTCACAACTGCCGTGTATTTAAGTTGTACTGGTTTCCCAGTGCCGAATTGACTTCGATGTCGTTTCTGTTCTAATGATTGTCTTGGTTCAGACATTATCCAGTGTGTAATGCTCGTGATTAAAGCAGTAATTCTTACTTGTCATTATTCGTACATGTGCATTTGCAGGCTTTGGACAAGATTCGCTTCGAGTCCTTGACAGATAAGAGCAAACTAGATGGTCAGCCAGAGCTCTTTATCCACATTGTTCCCGATAAGGCGAACAACACCTTGAGCATCATAGACAGCGGTATTGGTATGACGAAGGCTGACATGGTGAACAATTTGGGAACTATTGCCAGATCTGGGACGAAGGAGTTCATGGAGGCACTTTCTGCGGGAGCTGATGTGAGCATGATTGGACAGTTCGGTGTTGGTTTCTATTCTGCATACCTGGTTGCTGAGAAGGTCGTGGTCACCTCGAAGCACAACGACGACGAGCAGTACATTTGGGAGTCCCAAGCAGGAGGGTCTTTCACCATCACACGAGACACATCGGGTGAGCCACTGGGGCGTGGTACCCATATCAAGCTGTATCTGAAGGAAGACCAATTAGAATACTTGGAAGAGAGGAGGTTGAAGGACTTAGTGAAGAAGCACTCAGAGTTCATCAGCTACCCTATCTCACTGTGGACGGAGAAGACCACAGAGAAAGAGGTGTCTGACGATGAAGACGAAGACGATAAGAAGGACGAGGAGGGGAAGATTGAGGAAGTTGACGAAGAGAAAGAAAAGGATAAGAAGAAGAAAAAGGTGAAAGAGATTTCACGCGAGTGGACGCTAATAAACAAACAGAAACCCATCTGGATGCGCAAGCCGGAGGATGTGACGAAGGAGGAGTATGCTGCGTTCTACAAGAGCTTGACGAACGACTGGGAGGAGCACCTGGCCGTGAAGCATTTCTCGGTCGAAGGGCAGCTGGAGTTCAAGTCGGTGCTCTTCGTGCCGAAGAGAGCTCCGTTCGATCTGTTCGATTCGAGGAAGAAGCAGAACAACATAAAGCTGTACGTGAGGAGAGTGTTCATCATGGATAATTGTGAGGAGTTGATACCCGAGTACCTGGGGTTCGTGAAGGGAGTGGTGGATTCTGAGGATCTCCCTCTGAACATCTCTCGTGAAACATTGCAGCAGAGCAAGATTCTGAAGGTGATCAGGAAGAACTTGGTGAAGAAGTGTATGGAGATGTTCTCGGAGATCGCAGAGAACAAGGAGGATTACCAGAAGTTCTACGAAGCATTCTCGAAGAACTTGAAGCTGGGTATCCATGAGGACAGCCAGAACAGATCAAAGCTAGCGGACTTGCTGAGGTATCACTCAACGAAGAGCGGTGATGAGATGACGAGCCTGAAGGACTACGTAACCCGGATGAAGGAGGGGCAGAAGGACATCTACTACATCACGGGAGAGAGCAAGAAAGCGGTGGAGAACTCTCCATTCTTAGAGAAGCTGAAGAGGAGAGGATACGAAGTGCTGTTCATGGTGGATGCGATTGATGAGTATGCGGTGGGGCAATTGAAGGAGTTTGACGGGAAGAAGCTGGTGTCGGCAACGAAGGAAGGGCTTGTGTTGGAGGATACCGAGGAGGAGAAAAAGAAGAAGGAAGAGAAGAAGGCTCGGTTCGAGCCACTATGCAAGACGATTAAGGACATTTTGGGTGACAAGGTAGAGAAGGTGGTGGTGTCGGATAGGATTGTGGACTCCCCTTGCGTTCTTGTGACGGGCGAGTACGGATGGTCCGCAAATATGGAGAGGATCATGAAGGCGCAGGCGTTGCGTGACAGCAGCATGTCGAGCTACATGTCTTCAAAGAAGACAATGGAGATTAACCCGGACAATCAGATTATGGAGGAGCTGCGTAAGAGAGCGGAGGTGGACAAGAATGACAAGAGCGTGAAGGATTTGGTATTGTTGTTGTTCGAGACTGCTCTGTTGACGTCAGGGTTCAGTTTGGAGGAGCCGAATACGTTCGGTAACAGAATTCACCGGATGTTGAAGTTGGGTCTGAGCATTGACGATGACGCCACGGATGCTGACGCTGACATGCCAGCACTGGAGGCTGATGTCGACGAGGAGGGATCGAAGATGGAGGAAGTGGATTAAGTGAAGTCTTGTTGAGCCAGAGTAGTTTAAAAATTGAGATAAGTTATCACCAATTTTGCACGGTAGCCGTAGGAATTAATGCTTGGAGGAGTGACTTTCTATCCGAAGGCAATGCTGCACAACCTTACACAGAAGGTTATGCTTCAACCTAAGTGCATTCACTCTACACCTCTGTGCACGAGTAGTTCAAAGAATGTTTGTGATAATTGTATAGGGCCCTACATCCTTTGAATAAATATATCGTGGACAATTCTATTTTTCTATCTCTTTCTGTTGCTGAGTAGATAACATCTTGAATGCACTCATCTTTATTACAATTTAATAATACAGTAAGATAACTAAAATTCTGTAGACCGTGAAAACCACAATTTCGATTTTTATCCTTCGCGCGTATATTCAGTTGGGAATGTTGGAATATCTCACTTTTAATAATTAACGCTGGCAACATAAATAATCGCTCCTGAGCCATTCTTTGCCGTCGTTAGGTAACATTCGACATTCTCATTCCAGACAATGTACCTGAACTTATAACGTTCACAATGCATTGTGCACGTTGTCTACATCGTTATAAAGTTATTAACAAAGCCCACACATAACAAAAACACTAGTTATTGTCCAATTGTTATAGATTATGAAAATGATACAGTGTTGTGTCATTGTACAGCCAGTCGTCCAGGTTTCATGCTTTATATAAGAGCTAATTCTACACTTGCCTTTGACAATCTCGACCTCTTTTCCCCAGTGAACTTCACCTGGAAATGAAAGACAATGAAGTTCAGTGCACAGTTGTGCAGATTGCCCGATGTCACCGATCATCTTGCAAACCGTCCAACACCTGTGCCGAAGTTTTTCCCAAAGCCTGCCCCAACAGACAAATGTGATCAAAGCAAATTTTCACGGAATCTGCATACCAGCCAACGGTGAAAAGGACAATATCGAGATACTAACAGAACCTGAAATGTAACTGCTTTTCGAATCCATCATTATGTGAAACAAGTTAGAAACGGTGTAATGGCTTGAACAAATAATGTAGCATAAATATAAACTAAGAACGCAATGATGTAGTGTGCTACAGCGTACACAGCGATAGTCCAAGAGTATCGAACGCTTAGCATAGAAATAAGATAATGCATGCTAGAATTGATAGGGTGTGCTTTACTTCGTAATCTTTGCTCTTCTTGGGCGATTCGTGCCACCCGTCGCTGCCGCAGCAATTCGTCCTTCTCACGTGCCTTTTCTTGTAGCTCGAGTTGCTGCCTTGAGCGTGAAGCAGCTATTTCCTCCCTCTGTCCCAACGTTTGGAAAAACTTTAGTCTTAAAAGCACGTTGAATCCAAAATTAAAACAACAGCGATGACATCAAGATTGAGCAACTGTCCGATAACACTTGGTATTCTAAGCGAGATTTTAAATGAAGACCTTACCTCGCACACTTTTACAAAGTAGACAAAGAATTGAATCTTAAGAGGGACAACTTCTATCGCATCAACGATATTGGATAGTACCTAACCTCTGCATTTCGACTGGGTAAAAGAAGAATCCAATAGTTGGGAATTTACATTTACACTTCGAGGCTCCAAACTGGCATCTGTCCCTTTGATCCTTACTTTCAAAGAGTTAAACCTTCTCTGCAACATAGGGAACGCACTACCGCATAACAGCGCTACAACAGCAAATGCAACGAAAGTCTTGATGAGAAGATAAAATCCTTTGCCTGAATCTAGCCACTCCGCCAAATCTCCCGGTAGCTCTTTTGCCACTGTCCACAATACCACGCAGTTATTCGATGAAAATTCAGTTCTGATACCAAGCTGCAACTCACAATGCGTTATGTAGATTTTCAAAAAATATCAACTTAACAATAAACAAATAGAGAAAACAAAAAAAGTAGGACAGCTGATTCAAAAACTTTAGTAACGTCGTGACTCGAAGGCATTCACACAAGTATTCACTCTAAGGAAAATGAACCAAACACGAATTAGATTTGGCACGATTAAACTAAGGAAGTGAAAAAACATGCTTTAGGGTTTACGAACCATTAAAGGCGGACTGCAAGGCCTCAAGAGACATGCCAACATAAGGAGCCACTACACGCCAGTTGGTTGTTGTGAGGACACCAAGGATGGTTGTAAATCCAAATCCAAAGATACAGAGGCCAATCTTCGCTCCAATCCATCTTCTGCCTTGGGAGTCTGTTAAAAACAGAGGTACTAGTAGAAGAGGAGCTGTTTTCTACATTCACACCACATTGTCAAACCATAGCCACACCAAAGCAATTCATCACGCTTAAGGATCCAAGGGTCCATATACATCAAGAAATAAGGAGGGCGTTGCACAGAACTCACACATGGCAGCAAGAAACGACCCCAGAAGCAATAAGATTGCGCTGCTTTCATGGATGGGCGGCTTGACACCATCTTCACTGGGGGCACTCCCCATGTATGATGCGGAGGTCATGGCAGCGAGATGATCGGCTGCACTCATCGGCAATCAATTCGTACAAAATAAACCGAATTAATGTTCAAGTTTGATTGACGGGCTTAGAATTGAAAGTACTTGACCTAATTCGTTGGAAGTATCGATGTGGGCTTTAGCGGAAAGCAATGTTCTCGAGTTTCACAAACTCACTTCCCTCTCACGAGCTTCGATCCTACCTTCCACTGTCCCTCTGTCACGGCAAATAATCCTACTCTGATGATGCAAACTCTCGGTAGATTATTCAGCAACCTGCCCAAAAGTACGTAAACCTTTGACAATCAAGGGAATCCAAGTACCCATGCCCCAGAATTTGCCACGGAAGCATCTTCCTGCGAACCTCACAAACTTACTAAAATACCGAAGACCATCAACCAGAAGGCTTCGGATGATAAACAAGCATATGAACGAAGGAATTCCAACTCGATCATCCGAGTCACCGATATTGGATTCCCTTGGTATGTTGCAAAGTCATGCTTGAAGCATAGTGCTGGAAGCCTCGCGTCAGGTTTTGAGACAGCGCAGCAGACAGAGTAATCACCACTACACCGCTCCACCGAACAATCCCTTGTACTCTTTAATCAAATGTTGGGAACGTGTAATACTGGAAACATGTGACCTATTTTTACAGATGGGGTGTGTTTTCCCCACAATTCCTCAGAGTTCAGATAAACCCTAAACCCTCATTTAGGGCAGTTAAGGTCTCACCGCTTGATTGCACAAGGGATATTGTCCACATGCGGGAATAGAAAAGACATACCGACGTGCCGCCATCTTTAGAGGGGCTCTGAGCAAGTCCAGTTCAGAATTTAGTTATTGATAGAATTATTTTATATAAAAATTTTGTTCTGTGGCCACAACACATCCATTTGGGTATCTGGTCTAGTGGTATGATTCTTGCTTAGGGTGCAAGAGGTCGGGAGTTCGATTCTCCCGATACCCCTCTTTATCATTTTGAAAGAATTGTGAGATAACTTTTGTCGGAGGCACCAAGGTATGTGAATTAGTAGTTTGGTAACATTAACGTCAAATTGAAACGGAGGTAATCAGAAATAATTTTTTATCAATTAAATACAAAAATCATGACTTAATTAAAAGTTACTTAAAAGTTATAAAAGTTATACTAATTTGTGAATTTTTTCCAAATACTCTACCTGTATAAAAGATTTGTGATTAAATATTTTGTGATGTGATGCATTTCTCTTCTTAAACAAGGTTTTCTTTGACCTGTTTTTTCTAGTAAACTTCTTCGTTTTAAGAATAAAATTATAACAAACACACACATGTAATTGAACAAAATATTGTCTAAAATTTTATTGCAGTATTCATTTTTATTTTTATGATAGTTCTTTGTACATGAACTTTTTTGTCTTGGTTAAATCTAAAGTTGTTTTAACCAACCATGGTGCTTCAACCTTCACTGTGCTTCACATGTATGAACACATTTTTGTAATCAAGTAATCAGATTTTATCATTTTCCATCTTTCAAAACATTATTCAACCGAAAAGGTATACATGAGTTTAAATCCTTCACATTGAAAGCATTGACAACAAGTTCTGCTATATATTTTGCACATCCAACTGATCAATGTAAGAGTTGTTGATTGAATAACATATATTTTGGTCAACTTTTACTTAATGCAGAACACGACTGAACAACTCAAATTTTGAATCAAATCACTTCACTCTCTATCCTGCCAGAACTGCTTCCAATAATCAGCTATAGGCAGACATGCAATACAAACCACATTAGGATACCTATAATGTATCAGCACTTCAGATAGGCCAAGGACCTTAAGATCCCTGCTGCATATGGCAATGAAGTATCAATTTCAAATACAATGATCCATTGCATTTGTTGCATGTTTCATACAAGTCCACTTGAGAGGCATCTGTGATGAGAATAGATCGAAGAATATATTCAAAAACTGCAATAAACAAGAGGAACGTGATCCAAGAGAATCTTGGATTTGATGGCAAACATTGCCAAGGTTATCCATGGATTGGTTTTGGATTTAAACTTTTATGAAATTTTTAAGTGTGAAAAGGAGGTATCTAAGTCATCTACATTCTAAAGTCATCTACATTCTCTCCAGCCCTTGAAGTTCCAAACTTTGCATACAAAGCCGAATACGATGCATTTAAGGCACCACACACACACGCACACACACACCTAAATATACTTAAAGAAAAGAACTAAAGAAGTCTTGATAAGGTAAGACGCAAGTAAATAGTAACAGAACTCCTGACAAAGTCAACAACAAATAAAAAGATGAGGTTTGTAGGAAGTCAAGAATACGATTTACATTGAGTTCTCTTGAAAACATTCATTTTTTTCTATCCAACCCACTACCTGGCTGCGAGATGCACACAACTTCCTAAACCTAAGAGCTACCAACTCATCGCTTCACTTAACAACGGTAGAATGCTCTGAAGGGGGAAAAGAAACAAAATTAAAGAAAAGAAAAGAACATGCTACGAAATAAGAGACTATCCTGATGCAATACAATACAAAGTTGCTAGTCACTTGAACCCAAGCGCAAACGACAACTTGGGGCGAGTGTTCTTTTTGCCCAAGATTTTCATTTGTTCTTGCCGTCCTTGCTCCTCTTCCAACTTTCTCCTTCGCAACGCTTCCTCCTTTTGCCGTTGTAGAGTCTCCAACTCACGATAACGTTCTTCCTCTTTTCTGGCCTGCTCCTCAGCTGCTCGCCTTTGAGCTTCTTCGATTTTTCGTCGATTCTCTTCGAGCATCTGTTCTAGCTGCTCTTTCTCCCTCATTTTTTCCTCCTGGATTTCAGAAAAGGAAACAAGTAAGAAGCCACCTCGAACAAAAGTAAGTCTTAATAAAGTATTACCGAAGCTAAAACACCTTCGTTTGCATGCACCATTTATCACTGATGTAATAATGTTTCTAGAGACATTGGGAGGCGAACAACATGGCCAAAATATCATATGCAATCGAGAGGAATGTACAAAAAGATAGAATAACAGCTGTCGAGAAAAAGGCTTATAAGTATACCTCATTCCTCCTGGCTTCTGCAAGTGCTTCCTCCTTTTCTCTCTCAAGCTGAGCGGCAATGTCATCAATAATTTTTTTCCTGCCCTCCTGTATTCTCGACTCAATCTCCTTCTTAAACTCTTCCGAGTGTAGAGCCTCGTGAACTTTCTTTCTAATAGATTGTTCTATTATTTTTGCGGTTTCTTCCTCAATAACCTTTGCTTCAGCCTCTTGCTGCCGCCTGTAAATAAATAGTGCATAGTTAGCGACAATGATACGCCCGTAATGGATAAACCCATCCCCATGCTTGAGTGGAACATACAGGGGGGATAACCTAACATTCATGATAATGATTCTTTCAAAGCACGCAGTCAATGTAAAAGCAGATAGAAACAACACAAAACTGATGCATAACCTGAGGTGTGTTGCACGAGGTCAGGTCCGAATATACTGCGACATACGAACCGTGACACATTGTACATCCAGAGATGACAAACAAGCTCAATTTGAAGAGGCAGCTGAAACATATCCTCCACTGATCACCCGTGGACAATAAGGACCTATACACATTCACTGTGAGGGACGACGTGAAATGTGCGAGACATGATACTAAGTGATTCGATTCAGACATAATCGCACTGCCATGGACCAGGAGAAATGTCTCACCACATGGCGTCACTTCCACTACAAACTTTGACTGCGATGGAAAGCTAACCCATCCATTCTATCAATGCTAACCATGAAAAACTGCCGTTATTTTGGCAAAATTACTTGGCTGATTCCTCTTCCATGTTACTTCCCCTGTTAACATCAGCAATTTGATTAGAATCATAGCAGATAACAATGAGAGGTATATCCTTAAGGCTTCCAGTTTCTTTTTTATTGGACATATCTTTCCCATGAGGGTCAGAACGCCATTCTTAGCGAGGCATTACCTTTTCTTCTCAAGCTCTTCGTCTTCTCGAACCTTGTCGAAGGCTCTTCTTCGTTCAAGGGAGAGAAGACTTGAACTTCGGGATCTAATTGGTGATCTTGAACGACTACGCCGCTTTGAACGCCTAGGAGTTGGTGTCCGACTCCTGTACCTGTAAGATGAATTTAGCTTCGTCAGGCTCTTGAGACGGTATATTTACTCGATTTCCAGGAAACTAAATTCCCGCATCTAAATCAGGCCCTATTATGGGCACGTCACAATGACATATTGTCAGTGATACGTCTACACGAGTGGGAGAACCATACTGTATGAGCCTTCAGGAATCTGACCTCTACACCCCGGTTCAACTTGTACATATACTCTACGCCATTACTGTTAAGTAATATCACTAACTCAGGGAATAATTGACTCGAATGTAGCAAAGCGCCGAGCTAGAGTACAATACACAATTAGTAGGCACATCTACAGTACGGATACCAGAGGAAGAGGGCGGCGATACATCAGAAACGATTGGACAGTTCCGGAAATGACGACCTTCCCAAAGCCTTCCAGCTTTTCTCCAAGCAGCAACAGCATCATATCCCCTCCTTCCAAGAATATAATGATTATCATCCCTTCTGAGCTCGTCTGTTCCCCCCCCCCCTTCATTCTCATACCTTTTCGCTTCTCATCTCATCAATTTTATGCGTACATGATACTCATCACTGTCTGACAAACTACTCGGACTCTCTCGTGGTAGGTTTCTAGCCCAACAATAATAACATGCAGACCCACTGTTTTCTCACTGTAACACACCTGCTGTGAACATGATGCACCGGTGATCGGCTTCTATGTGATTCCCTCCTCCGTTTTGTGCTGTGACGGTATTTCGTAGGCGAGGGTGATCGTGCAGAAGTTCGGTGCCGCTCTTTGCGAGGCGGGGACCTCGACCGGGATAATGATCGAGGCATCCCTTAGTTATCTACCAAACCAAGTATTCTACGGCTACCTGACCACCCGACAAGAAAAATGTCGCTGAAGTCTCAACTTCTCGTGCTCTCGCTCTCTATTATTCTGCAAAACCCCACAAATACAGGAACCGACAGGTTAGAATCTAATTCATCTAACTGTAAGCTTTGGGGCATACAAAACACCAACCTAGACGTGCATCGTCCAAGCATGCATTCCGCACGACTGAAGTAGCGTAGACTTCTCAGCTATTCTACCGACCAGTAGCTTCGATATCGACGGATACTGGTGCCATCAAACCACACTGATACATAAAACAGGCGCCAGGTGCAAAACGGTTCTCTAATTCTAATAGACGCCCAAATACACCACACAGGAGACGAACTCCTAGAGTCCAAATTAAGTATGCAGAGCTCTAAATGGGCAGAACAAACAAAAAAATTAGCAATCAATTAAAACCTGGAGCATATAAGTGCTGAACCCGATATCATGGAGTAATAGATAATAGTTCAATATCCATGTTGGTACTAAAACCATAGTGAAACTCCTAATTTTCACCTGAAATTGTTTGATACCAAGCAAAATGGAGAAACTAACGTATCAGGGTCCCTCAAGTCCGAGTTAAACACGTTCCCTGCGGTAATTGGGGCACAAAAATGCATGGCGCCATATCACAACACCAACGCATGTCGAAATTCGGGCAGGCTAGGAGAAAACTACTGCCTCCGCTTTCCAAAATGAAGAAATACCTTACAATCGAAAGTGGACAGCCTTCACCCGATAACGGCCACCAAAACGCAGTACTCTGAAACGACGACAAGACGGTCATTAAAAACTTCTCTCAAGCTAAACTAAGCTTCACGAATTACCACATCTGTCGTGCACCTACACCAGGTCGCTAACCAAGAGGAACAGACACACGCGCGCACACACACACACACACTCTGAAACCCTACAAACCTGATATCCCCTTCACCCCAATTCTGACATATCGCTCGATCTAGGAAACCGAATCCCACACAGTCTTACAGAGCAAAGCAGCGTAAACCAGATCTGCAACCGATCACACGCAACATCGCGCCCACGGACAGACTTCCCCACAAAACGAACTCAAACGAAAGAAATTGTGCCTCAAACTACACAACACACAAAGCTTCGAAAGTGAGGAACACACCATCAAAGGAGCGGCGTTGCGCTGCGGTGCGCGAGGGCGGAGGAGATTTCCAGGCGCTTGAAATTGGGGTGGAGCAGAATCGAGTGCAGAGGAAGGCAGACCCCCCGAAGCAATCTGGGGCACGTGTGCACTCTGCGAGTGGCAATTAGGGCTTCGTCCATGCATTCGTCCAAATCTGACATCTCTGATTTCCGTTCATAGTGCACACAAATTCTCGTGGTAGTGGACGGTGAAAGTAAAAGGCGAAAGGCTGGCTGAATCAAAGTAGGCCGTGCTCCATCCCCATTTCCACGTAGAAGTCCCTTTATCCTTAGAGACAAGGTGGGTGAGAGGCCTTAACTTTTAAAATCTTTTGATTGGCTGTAATCTATATATTATGATCGCTTTCATTCACTGCATGGATGGATCTTCATTTTCATAAAAAAAATTCATGTTTTACACCTTTTACAGTTCATCCTTATGTTTTACAGTTGATCAAGGAGTTCTATAGGGTGTTTTCCTACCTTCTTTTGCATTCAAGGCAAAGCCATACTATTCACATTCCTTAGCTTTGTTATATACTGATCAAGTCTTTGCTTTAGTGATTGAGTTGCAATAAATGAAGCAAAGTTGATCAAGGAGTTCTAAAGTGTGTTTTTATACCTTCTTTTGCATTCATAGCAAAGCTATACTATTCACATTCCTTAGCTTTGTTATGTATTGATCAAGTCTCTGTTTTAGTGATTGAGTTGCGGTGAATAAAGCAAAGTAACGTGATATTGATAACAAAGTTCTGTTGATGCATTGATGATAAAGTTTATAAAGGAATATTGGATGTTCCATTGTTGGATTAGTGCAAACAATTGCTCTTTTTGGTGTGCATTGATATTGTTTTTTTTTCTTGTTGGAAGATTTTAAAATAAATGGGTAGCTTCTCACTAATAGATAATCATAGATGTGGAAGAGAAACTATTGTGTATTATCATGTTAATGCCATCCTGCTCATTTTTGCTTCTATGGTAGAAATCTGGACTGCACCATTCATTTGATTATTTCATACCCTTCATTTTTGTAATGTTTTATAGATTTTTATGTTCATATGTATTTATTGGAAATCAAATAGTTTACAAGGTACTAACTCCTTGAAGTCTCAAAGCATATGGTTCCTCGTTAATGTAGATAGAATGAAAATCAAGTCATGTAACTTTTTATATTAATTGACTTATATAAAAAGTACAGAATTAGAAAGGCATTTCAAAGCATTATGTACCTATATGTTATCTTTATGTGCTAATCTTGATCACTAGCTGATCAGATATAAGTGTCAAGATAAAGTTCATTAACCATTATAGCTAGTAAATTTCCATGTTATCTTTATGTGCTAATCTTGATCACTAGCTGATCAGATATAAGTGTCAAGATAAAGTTCATTAACCATTATAGCTAGTAAATTTCCATGTCAATATTTGATTTATAAGTTCTAAGTCCACAAGATATTTTACGGTTGATTATAGGGCAATTATAAGAGATTCATAGAATTCACATGGGATTTTAAATCAAAGCAGCTAGAAGGATATATATCCTAGTGAGTTGGTGCTCTTTTAGCTATTTGGTATTAATTCAAAGGGTTAAGTCTTTTTTTTAATACTAAATCTTAATTTATTTTTATTTTTATTTTTATTTTTTTTCTCTTTTATGGTTTGGGTGTTTGAGATCTTAAAGTCCTTCAAATCTTTGTTTGATGCTAATGATCACATTTCTATATGCAATTTAATTTTGGTGCAATTACATCAATTTTTTGGGATTGATATTATAGATTTTGGCTGAGGGCATGGATGGTGTAGAATTTAAGGATTAGAATATTGATATTGGTGATTCTCACTAGAGAATGTTATTATTGGATGTTACATTTTGGAATAAAATAATTTTAGAATTTTAGGTTATCAATTCATGAATAAGATCTTAGAAATAAAACATGCATGCCATGATGGTTAAGGACTACAATATGAAATGACTGTTATAAAAGTAATTAACTAAACATGATTAACAAAATGTGTCATATTAGAGTTTAATTGAACAAGGATGGGTTTAAAAATGCATTGTTTATTGCATGCACGTAATATGATTAAAAGTGAAGTTTGGTTCTTAATAAAAAAGAAAGCATAATTGCAATTTTTTTGTGCTTTCTTGAAATTGTACTCTACACTCGTAATAGGTATCTGCCAAAAGTTAATATTTTTTAAACCATGGATGTTTGTACATTGTGTTTGAGCTTCTATTAAAGAATTTGTCACTAAGAGTAGAGAATGAAGGTAAGTTATGATTTGAATTAAAAGAAAAATTTGACAAAACTTCAAAGATTTCAAAAACCATGCTCTCCATTTCTTTAAATCATATTACCAACCTTTGTATTGTAAAGTGAGAGTATTTTTAGATAATTTAAAAATTTCAAAAATTTGTGTGTATTTGCATTGCATTGCATTTTAAAACTTTTATTGTACTTTGTATTGTAGAGTATTATATAAAAAATTACACAAAAAAAATTTTGTATAATTTTTTAAATGTATAATTACTATTATAAATAATAACATTCAAAATAGGAATATATGCCCTGCCATTAAGTAATGATTGTTTCAAATAAAAATGATGGATTTTTTTAATTGCAACTTCTTAAATGGAGTATGATAGAAAAAAAAAATCAAATTTTAAAGAAAAGTTGAATAGGATCTACCGAGACAAAGAGATTTGTATTGAAAGGCCTTGTTTTATTTAATTTTGATAGTTATTTACAATTCTATGCAAAGATCTCAATATTTTCTTTTTCAAATTAATTATAGTTTTTTTTTAAAGGATGCAAGATAGATGAAGAATGTGGACAATGGTGAAAAATTGGATAGTGTTGTATTTAAGCTCATCAAAAATGAATTCTAGTACATTTCATTTGATATCATTTTATAAACAAAATTCTTTAAAAACATAATTTTATTGGAATTTTTCAAGTGTTGTCAACCACAACACAAATTATCTATGATAATGATATGGATTTATCTTTAAAATCTTTTAATTAATCTTAATTTATATATTAAGATTGCTTAAGGAGACAAATAATGGCTTTCATTCATTACATGCAAATATAAAAACTAGCTTAATAATATCTTAATAATAATCTCTATGATTTATGGAAGTTTTCTTTGTCACATATTAAATTAAATACATTGGATATATAACTATTTATTAAGGACATGAATCTCAAAAACAAAAATCTTCAATATACTCTTGACTTACTAAAAAGAACTAGAAAGTCACTCAAAGATGATATAATATTAAACTAGAATGGCTATTACTAAAAATAAGAATATTAGAAAATCTTAAAATAAGACTGTAGACTAAAAAAGCTTTAATAAGAGTGAAGAAGGCTTCATTCTTACCTCCATATATACTCTTAATTAGGAATTACATGATCATGTCCTAAAGGACCTCGAACATATGTTGACTTTGCAAGACACATATCTTAACTTGCAAGGTAAGTTTTCTATATGTACACCACATAATTACCTTGTTCCGCAAGCTATCAACACGTGGTTAACTTATTGTCAAAGTTTCTAACCTACCAATCAGTTACAAACACATGTAAAGTCAAAGCAGCAGCTATAAAGCTTCTAAAAAGTTTCTTTAGAAGGTATTATGAAGTTAACTTACTTTTATTTACTTTTACGTATTTCTATTTAATCATATAGGTATTTATTAAAGTACATATGTATATTCGTGACACTATTAGGTGGTGCAACCTTATTATTGTTGTAGATGACATGATAATACAAACATTTTATAAGAGATGATACTACAAACATATATAAGGCTTGTTATTTCAGGACGATGCTGCAAGGATCAAGTTTTGATATGCACTCATTGAATTTCCATTCATTGAATTCCAAATATTTGTCTAATATTTCACAACTTTAATGCTCCAACTAATACATGCTTAATACTAATACATATTAATAATATTAATGCAATATGAATATTACTAGAATAAATATGTATTTATATTAATACTTAATTGATACTAATTGAATATACTTAATATATATTATTATATAATATTACTAAATAATTATATTATTTTTTATAATTATTATTATATTAAATTATATATATTCTATAATTATTATTATATTAAATTATATATATTTTATAATAATACATCTATATTATAATAATTAATTATTATATATACATTACATGTTTACATACTAATATGTCATAATTTATTATATTATAAAATTACTATTAATATGATTATTATAAAATCATATATTTTTAATATTTAATACAATAAACATAATATAATTCATATTTTTATATAATAATAATTTAATATAAAAAATATCAAATTTTAATTATATATATTATTATTAATTTTTAATAGTAATTAGTAATAATAATAAATAATAAATAATAAATAATAATATAATAGTTATAATTATATAATTATAATAATATACTTAATGTATATTATTTGAATATATTTAAATATGTAATTACATTAGTAAATATGTATTTGCATTATAATTTTGGATTCAAATACATTCGTACTCCAAAGAATATTAATGCAATATTAATGCAAAAGTTGAATACTTCAAGAACTCTGTACTTGCATTACATATCTTTTAAAACCATGGGCATATAACAAGCATCTGTGCAATGTGTTTGAACTTTTGTCAAAGAATTTGTGAGTGAGAGTACTTGTTTTTTTTGTGGGAGGGCACATGAGGTACAAACAATGTAAGTAGCTACAAAAAAAACTCTTTGATTTTTGGAAGTGCTTTCTGTCAAATGCTTTAATTATTTTCAAGATTCAAAATCAAGGTAATTAAAGTTGGACTTTGTTCTTATACTGCAATTTTGAGATTGTCAAGGCATTATATGATGATTATACAAAGTGTGTCTACATGCTACAATAAAAATTGTGATATTTTGAAATCACTTGATTTAGAAACAATTAGTTATATCAACTTATGACCAAAACCATTGGATTAGATATGTAGAAATGCTACATTCATAGATTCTTAAGGTCCTCAATAATTAATATGGATTTTTTTTGAAATACATAGAAATTTTATTATGCTCTACATTCCAAAGTGGGAGTATATCTAGAAATTTC